GCCATTCGGCCCATCGAGTCCGTGCTGGCTCTTTGGAAGAGCTATCCACATTAATCTCTTCCCATAGCCCTGAGAGAATTTGTCCTCCCCAAATATCTATCCACTTCTCTCTTGAAAGTTGTTATCGAATCGGCTTCCACCATCCTTTCAGGGAATGTGTTACAGATCCGAACTTGCTGTGCGAATTTTATTTTTTACTCATCTCCCCTCTGGTTCATTTGACAACTGTTTTAGAATCTGTGGAGGATTTTTATCCGGAAGATTGGATGCCGCGAGAAACTCCCTTCTCTTTAGGAATAATGTCACGGATTTTATGACATTTAGAAAAATTTGAAATCTCGTCTTAATTTGCAGTTTCGTTTTCAGCACAGAGGGACCACATTCCGAATTCAGACAAAAGAATTGAAGAAAATTTCTGCACATACGGAAATTTTAAGGTAATGGTCTAAAGGCTGAGACCATGAGCAATCACAAGCCTTGGGGATTAGAATTACGTGGGAATGATGTAAAGACATTATTTTAACTCAATTATTATGGGAAGAGGATTAAGCGGATGTCTAAGGACAGGATAAGGAATGTTCCCCTGGCAAAGAATATCCTTCCACTATTAATATCTGAATGGAAACATGTCACCGCACATGCACTGACACTATTGAATCAGTCACGGGAGAATGATGCCACCAATTTACTTTGATTCCTCTTTACAGACTTTTCAGTAACTAATGAGCTTAGTGGGATATGATAAATTAGACTAATCTGCTCGGATGCTGCAGCCGTGTAAAATCATTAGGCCTTCCAGGTATAATTCAAATGCAAACTGTAACCTCAACACGAAATATAAAAGCACGAGGGGAAATTTAAAAGCTTGACTGATAGCAGTGTCTCATGCTGTGACCTCAGCTCAGTCACACTTTGACCAGGATTGAGTGTTTCTCTCAACGCTGGGTTCAGAGTTGACAAGTCACTCGGCCAAGCAATGGTCCACCTCAGCTGGAAAAAAGAGAGGCCATTTTACGCAAACGTTCAAGATCCTAAATTGTACAGAGCAACCATGGCTGCGTGGCTGTTTGTGAGACATGGCTGGGCACAAACATGACTGCTGCATTCTTTAAAAAAAATACACAGCCGCTACACTTGACAGTAATATCCTGTAAAATACAAGAATCTCCCTTTACATAGTCAGTTTCCTTATAATAATAATAATCCTTGCATTTGATATAGCGCTTTTCACGTCGGGAGGTCATCCCAAAGCACTTCACAGAACACACTGTAAAGTGAATTGACTGTATATTTGTGGGCGAACGCGGCAGCCAATTGCGCACAGCAATGTCCCACAAACAGTCGTAGATTGAAAATGAACAATTTATTATTGTTTGTGGTTTTGGAGGGATTATTATTAGGCTCTGTGTGGAGTAAGGAAACTTGCCCAAGGTTTCGCCCTCTGCCGGGAATTGAATTCAGGTCTCTCACTTTCAAAGCGAGTGCTCTAACCACTGAGCTACAGGACTCCACAACATGTATGTAACATGGTTGCAATTCCAAATAAGACGATTTGAATCAGGAGTCATTACAGATGAGGGCCATGAGAATGCACCTATGGTACCTCCTCCCTCCGCTTTCCTCATTGCTGGTTGTCCAATCCCACCACTATACAGTGCTCCGTGATGGTATCTTGTGTGAAGGCCACTGTATATATGTACTTTGTTGTTGACAACTGGCAGATGGCTTGTCATCTTATTGTCTCATGTAAAGTACAATGTGCTCCAGGATTGTTGCAGTTGTTGTACAATAAACTTCTACACTGCCACACTTCCCCAGCACCGCACAGCCATGTCAGTATAGACATTGAGCGAAAAGCCTGTGTGGGGGTTGAACCCACAATCTTCTGACCCGGAGGTGAGACTGCTGCCAAGTCATGTTTTCGGGGAGGCTGATTTGGTGATGGAGTTTCTTCCGTGACATAACTTACTGACCGAGCCTCTCAGGCCAGAGTGGACAATGTAAGTGATGTACGTACTCAAATTCAAATTAATTGGGTATTATACCCATTGGGGTTTGTGGGACGTTTGGTGGTAGATTACTAATGCATTTGTCTATAAAGCATACACTAAAATTCGAATTAAAGTGTGTCAGCCTGGCTCAGCTGGTAGCACTCTCACCTGAGTCAGAAGGTTGTGGAGTCAAGTGCCACATCAGAACTCACATAGTCTAACCTGATACTCCAATGCAGCGCTGAGGTTGTAATGTTAAAGGTGCCGTCTTTCAGATGAGATGTTAAACCGGCCCATTCAGGTGGACATTAAAGATTTCACGACACTATTCGAAAAGATAAGGTTGTTTCTCCGTGTCCTGGCCAGCAATCTGCCAAATATAATTGGTCACTCACTCCACTCCATGGCTGTTTGTGTGATATTTTTGTGTCTCAGTGGGCTGCCGAGTTTGCCATTAATAATAATATTCGCATTTCATATAGCGTCTTATCACTTCAAGACGTCTCAAAGCCCTTCACAGAATATACTGTAAAGCGAATTGACTGTATATTTTATGGGCGAAACACGACAGTCAATTGCCCACAGCAGTGTCCCACAAACACTTGTGGATTGAGTGACCAATTTAGTATTTCTTTAAGGAATTATTATCCCCAGATCCGCCAGTCAACTAACAATCGAGGTAAACAGGCGTGTGGAGTAAGGAAACTTGCTCAACGTTTCGCCCTAACGAGAATCGAACCCAAGTCTCTCGCTCGCGAGGCAAGTGCTCTAACCACTGAGCTACAGGATTCCTCAATAAATGCATAGTCCTGATGTGAAACGTACTATAAAAAAATGTAAGCTGTATTGTTATTATTATAATGAATTTGGTTTTATAGAGCGCTTTGAAACATTTATTTTACATGAAATTTAATGAAATCATTTTTCCTATTTTCTAGTAATTTTCAGTGTTTAAAAACTTTAAAACTTTGAAGGAAAGGAAGTGCCGACTTGTGGCGTCAGCGTGGAAGCATCTATTAACTACATTTAACTGTTTAATGTCCTAACAGCACGGTTTTGTGGATGTATACTGCAACATCTCTCATTCATGAACAAATTTATATTTGTTTCCCAGACCAACAAAGACATATCTGTATTATTTTAGATCACACCAGTGCCCTCCATATAGAAACATAAGGAGGCCGTTCAGCCCTTCGAGCCTGTTCCGCCATTTAATTAGATCATGGTTGATCTGTACCTCAACTAATCCTTTCAATTCCAAATTTCCCAGTTTCTCCCCTTATCCCTTAATCCCGACCTACCAAAAATCTATCAACCTCACTCTTGAAGGTGTGGATGGTTCCAGTATCCACGGCCTTTTGGGGCAAGAGAATTCCAGATTTCTACCACCCTTTTGAGTGAAAAAATGCTTCCTGATTTCACTCTTAAACGGCCTGGTTCTAATTATAAAGCTATAGTGCAGAACACACATTACTAATTTTCTTTTTTTGGGGGCGAGCTGGATATCTGATACATGTGGAAACTTGAGAAGCCAAACCAGAAAGAGTTCTACATATGCAACCCATGTATGCCTGGAGATTTACCTTTGCCTGAATAGATGTATTCTCTCTCCCCAGAGAGATGCATCCTGCTTACCTAATTCCAGAATGTATTATGGTTGGCAAGGGTGTACACTGGAAGTTTAAACAGGTAGAACCGCACAACTTGTCATTGAAAGCACTGCCTGGCAAGCTTCCCGTTGCTTGTCCAGCTAGGACCACTGTATCTGATAAGGTGCTGGATCCATCCACACCTTCAAGAGTGAGGCTTGCAGGGTTAGCAGGAGCTGAGTTGGGAAAGACCCTGTCTTTGGGACTGGTCTGCCTATCTCAGTCCTGCCAATGATCCAGGCTGTCTTGGATGCCATCAAAGATCTTAAGATTGTGGAGCAGAAATAGATTTAACAAGATTCGCAGAAAATATAATCACGGGATGAGTTGGATATAACATTTCAGCCAGGGACTTTCCCAACTCAGCTCCTCTTAATCTCTTCAACTAAACTTTTGGTCATGGTCCTACCCCTACCCTCCAGCCCTCCTGATCCCCTGCTTGTGTCCAAATCCCTGACTGTCCAGCACCTTGGGACGTCCTCCCGACGTGAAAGCAGCTATAGGAATGTAATTTATTGTTGTTGTTGTACAGGCATTGATGACAGTAAAAGACTTGTGAAACAATGCAATCATACCGCAATAAAACAGCTTTATTCATATGTACAGTCACCTGGGTCCAATGCCTCAGATGGCGCTTTGTGAGGAGCATCAAATAACTGACTTCCAGCTCATCAGGTGGCTGGTCGCTGACATTAGTTCCTGTGTGTCGATGATGGGCTATCAGCCGTGCTTCCTGCACGTGCCGAGGCAGCGTGCAAAGTAGTGATATTGGCAGCAACCTGATAAGCTCCACTGTAAGTCAGCCATTTACTAGCTGGAAGAGTACCCCAAGTGGACAGGGCACCCACATTAAAAGGAATCCCTCACCCTAGTGAGGCGCTTAATAACATGGGCGTCCTGTAATAACAGCAGCAGTCTGAGGACGGGAGCATCCACCCACCAACAACAACTATAGCAATAACACAACACAATGACTAATATACATTTCAAGAGCGCTCGCTTCGCAACCGAGAGACCTGGGTTTGACAACTGACAGGGCGAAATGTTGGGCAAGTTTCTACTGCAACACGCTTCTGTTTAGCTCACAGTAAGTAGGAACCCGGTGGTTAGTCAATTGGCGGATCGCTTTTCCGGGCTTAATAATCCTTAACAAAAAAGAATTTGGTAACTTCAATCCCCGACTGTTTGTGGGACGCTGCTGTAATTGGCTGCCGCGTTTGACCCACAAATATATGGTCAATTCACATTACAATGAAGCGCTTTGAGACATCTAGAAGACGTGATAAGGCGCTATATCCAATACAAGGACTATTATTGTTATTATTATTATGTACAGACTGAATTTTCTTTTTAAAAAAAAACAATAAAGACACGAGGGCTGAAGAGACCAGTGTCCTGGTCAGTAACACATAGTCAGCAATCTCAAACCCTGACACAACATTCACTTAGCCTGGCTGTTCTCCTCCTGCAGTGAGATGGCTTGATCTCCCAATTGTCGGGACGCCAATAAATATTTCAACCAAATGTGAGTATTTGATGCACTGCTGATCACCACATCATTTACAGACAGTGCAGCACTTGAACTTGCACTTGAAGCTTTGTTGGCTTAAAAAAAGGCACGGCAAACATTTTCAACCCCCCCCACCCCACCATCTCCCACCCGGGTAAAGTTGAAGCCCTTGCAATGCTCTGTGTTAAGTCTTCAGTATCCGTACTTATCATTGAGGTGTGTTCTACCATCTCCTGTTTGACCTGGAAGAAAAAATACAAATAACCATTATTACGATATCACTAGTAAGTTCCCTTACTGCACACATTCTGTTTACCTAGCAGTAAGTAGGAACTCGGTTGTTGGTCGATTGGTGGATCGCTTTTCCAGGGATAATAATCCCTTCAAAAAAATAATAATTTGGTTATTGAATCTATGACTGTTTGTGGGACGCTGCTGAGCGCAATTGGCTGCCCCGTTTCTCCCACAAAATATACATTTGCTTCACTTTAAAGTATATTTTGTGAAGGGCTTTGAGATGTCTTGAAGACATGATGAGGCGGTGTATCAAATGTAAGGATTATTATTGTTATCGCTAGCGCTTTAAACATAATTTGAATAAAAGCATAATAACTTTGATCACAATTTTTTAAAAAAAATTCGCAAACGTGTTTCCCTGATGCCAAATGCACGGCTGCGGGAGGTCACGGGTTTGCATCTTGGCTTGTGTTGAGTCAGCTGTTCACAGTTGGGTTAGTGCTACAATTGGCTTCAGCATCTCCCATTCCTGATCTCCTGCCACTGACATTGAGAGTGAACACAAGATCAGGCTTGGCTTACGATGGCAGCAATAGCCCACTCCCCAACCCCCCCGCCCACCCTCCAAAAATCACAGTCAAATATTTCAAACTCACATACCCGTGGAAGCATAGAGGGAAAACTATTCGAGTCGAAAGGAGGAAATTAAGAGAATTTAATAAAAAAGTACAATGAGTGGACAAGCGAATGTTCACAAAACATAATGTAAACCTCTCTCTCCGGTGATGGCCCACATTGTTTACTAATTGTCCTCCTCACAGAAAGCAGCCTCTGCCTCTCTCCAATATGAATTGTACTGTATTGTAAATACTGTGCTGGGGAAAAGAGTTATCTCAAAGCTCTCTCTCTTACCTCAGAGTGGGGGCCTATGAGCTTTTTACCGGTAGGAGAGATGAGGGTCAGATTATGGTTTCAGTCTCTTTTTGATTTGGGTGGGGGGAGAAGAGAGGTGTAAATGCCTTCAATCTTCTTTGATTGGGTGGTGGGGGGAGGAATATACCTTGAATCATGGGCTTGGAACATCCTCCCGACGTGAAAGGCGTCATACAAATGGAATTTCTTGTTGCTGTTGTTGTTATTGTGACAGGGGTGGGGTTAATACGACTTCAATCACATTTTGACCTGGGGTCTTACTCTCTCTTTCTTTCTCTCTCTCTCACCTTTAAGCTTAAATTATTTATGGTGAATTTGTTTTCTATCTGCAAGATTCCCCCCCACCCTCCACACACACACACACACACACAGAAAAAAAAGACAGGGTAACAATACACACATGATGTATTTGTGTGCACCCAGAACTTTGGTACTGGTTTTATATATTTGGGCAGGGTGGGGAGATCAAAGGTCAGAGTAAAAGGGGAGCAGCCTTCCCCCCCACTCCCTCGCTGCGAGGCACTAGAAAAGGAACCAAGGAACTTGTACTAAATGTAAACTCAGCCACTGAAGAAAAAGAAATACATTAAAAAAGAAATGTTATTTCTTTCGCGGTGCCTGATTTTGTTAATTTGACAGCTCGCTGAGTACGGTGGTGGGGGGGGGGGTGGTATGGGGAGGGGGAAGGAACGCCGGAGAATCTTCTCTCTGTAAACAGCTCGTACGTGCTAACAGAATAAATCTCGGGGGCAGTTGCGGGCTCGTACCTGGAGGGGGCACCCACACGCAGTAGTCGGGATCGTTCTTCGGATACCGGGCTGATAGCAGTTGCTGAGGTGGCTGCGTCAGACAGAACACACACACACACACACACACACACAAAAATCACGTTAGAGGCAAATCGTTTCCTGTCCTGTTCAATAATAAGGAGGTTTCAACATCTGTAACTGCGCAACATATTGCACAAAGGTTGACAGGCATGCTGCAAACGTATTTCTATAATTGCTATGCCATTGCCCACAGATGGCGAGGTCTTAATTCCATAAGGGTGCACTCTTCTGCCTTGCCGGCATTACTATTTCTGGATTGAGAAATAGTAATGCCAGGAGTTCAGGACTTCAAGCTATTCGAATTGACGCAAGGGGAAGAAGAGACTTGGAACAGGAGAGTCACTGAAAGACTTGGCAGACATGTCGGTGCTTTGATGTTAACAGGAAAGAACGTGAAATGCGCGGAATCGATATTCGTGGATGATTAGTGTTCCGTGGAGCTCTCTCTGTCGGTTCCTCCAAGGGCTTCTGTGTGATTAATCGCTGAGTATCTGAGTCGTTCGGACCTGTTCTCCTGGATTTGTTGTGTTAGCTAACCACACCTCGGGGGGCATTAAGGAACATACACAACTGGCCTTGGTGCACTGAGTTAGGGAGAGAGAAAAATAATCAGCCAGAGTTTTTACTCCTATCTGCTGACCTCAACGAAGGACAGTCGAGGATAGGATCGGGCTAGGCTGTGATATTCCCCGTGGGCGAGTAGCCTGTGATATTGAACTCTCTTCATCTCCAGATCAACAGGTTGACTTGAAAGTCAGCGAGTCTCTCTGGGAAAAACAGATCTCGCTGGGGCTGAGGAGGCAACGCCTTGAAAAGCCAGACTTGTCCACAATAATCCAATGCTTTGCCAATGATTGGCCAGCCTGACTGGGTCATGAATGAGACTTGGGAGGTGTAGAGATAATAGTAATAATCCCTCGCATTTGATATAACGCCTTATCATGTCTTCAAGACGCCTCAAAGAGCTTCACATATTAAATTGAATTGACTGTATATTTTGTGGATGAAACGCGGCAGCCAATTGCGCACAGCAGTGTCCCGCAAACAGTCGTGGATTGAGTGACCAAATTATTTCTTTATTTATTTCTATATTGAGGGGATTATTAAAACCCAGGTCCTCTCGCTTGTGAGGCAAATCGTTACAGGACTCCACGCTACAGATTCTTTCAGCCCTGAGGGTCAGATGCTACCTGCACAAGTGCAAGATTATTCCTATTGGCGGAATCTGTTAATTCAGATACAAGGGACATACATTTAGGATCATCAATGGAAGAGTTATAATTAATCTTTAGATCTGATACAGCAGCTATCATGCCTAAGCACTCCAAGACCCCACCCTCTGTGAAGGGTGTTATATAAATGCGAGTGATTACATCTAAGGGCTTCACAGGTAACGTTCAATGATTGTGAACTCGTAGACAAGGGGGAGGTTAGAAGTAACATTTCATCCAGTGAATCATGGAACATTTTGCTCTCGTCTAGATGATCATTAAGGCAACAAAACAGAATAAAATTGAAATGAGAACTGGATCAACATTTAAAAAGGAAGAATGCAAGAGGAGGACGAGGAAAGAAAAGAGAATTGGTGATTACAGTATTTTACATCAGTGAGGAGCTGGCACACATTTAGGCTGAGCTGAATGGCCTCCGCCAGACGTACCATTTGTACAAAAACAGAAGGCGCTGGGAACACTCATCAGGTCAAGCAGCATCTAAGATGCTGCTTGACCTGATGAGTGTTCCCAGCGCCTTCTGTTTTTGTTTCAGATTTCCAGCATCTGCAGTATTTGTACACTTACTTTGCTTGGACCGTACATTTTCTTCTTCAAACGCTTTCCTTCAGGCTTTCCATCCTTGGACGTCTTCACCTCTTTAAACAGAATCAGCACTTTTAATCCAAGTAACTTTGCGAGTACACAAAAAACTGGCATATTGGCCTCCATTGCAGCCGTCAACATATACAGAACACACATATACCATAACACATGCAAATGTGTCCTCTTCCAGCCTATGCCAAGTGCAATACTAGAATAGGTGAGTACATCTCTATCAACCCCCCACTCTCCACTATCCCCATTGGAAGCACTGGTTGGCAAACTTGATCTGAACACTCAACCCTCTCAGCTTTAGATCTCAAGTCTGAATGTTTGTTTTCTCTGCCAAACACTAAATGCTCAGGCCAGCTTCCCTTGATGGTAAAGGTAAATGTGCACAGCACTTGGCTTGTGAATTTTTGGCTTCAACGTTGTGGTAAGTCCACAGCAATACAGACAATATAACTGGCCTCAGTGCTCTTGGCTAGAGAAAAAAATAACACAAAACTCACTGCTCCCTAAGTGCTATCTGGCGACCTCCCCCCACCTCACCCGCACCGCTGCTGGATTGGGAGCTGGTATATGTCAAATAAAAAAACATTCACAGCTCACTTCAATAAACGATGGCAGCGATCACGTCCGAAAGAAAGGTGAGGCCATTTACCAGGAGGGGTGAGATTCACCCCCAGAGGTCACTATCGCTATTAAAATTTAACACAAGGACAGCTTAAAAAGACGCAAACCGTGCTCGTACGATTCTATTGTTTTTGTTTATTTAAAAAATGCCACCAAAATAATTTTGCACATTTGTGCCAGATTTACCTGTTGGCTCTTCTTTTGACAGAGAATCATTAACAACCTCTTGATCTTCGGTAGACAGGATAGTGGGATCCTGATCTGACTCCACGCCAGAGCATTGAGGCAACGAGGTGCTCCCTGAGCAAGAGGGAAAACTGACATTACAACAGGACACAACCTTAACTTAAACCTTAACATTACGACCAAGTTGAGGAAGACTTAAGATAAGAACATAAGCAAATAAGCATTTGCTGGCGAAAGAAGACCAAGGTCCATCGAGTTCGCCTTCCACCATCCTGGCAGTTGATCAACATGTCGTGTCCCCAACTATACACCGAATCCTGAGATATTATTTTCTAGCAGAAATCCATCTAACTTGTTCTTGAAACAAATAACATTTTCTGCTTTCACTGTCTTCCTAGGGAGCCTGCTCCATAGGTTTACAACTCGCTCACTGAAGTAGTGTTTCCGCAGATTTGTTCTGAATTTACTCTACTTCAATCACAGGCTGTGTCCTCTGGTTCTACTGTTCAGTATAAGATAAAACAGGTTATCAGGGTCTTCTCATAGAATGTAATAAAAATCTGGAACAACAATACTACTACTAATAATAATCCTTGCATTTGATACAGCGCCTTATCACGTCTTCTAGACATCTCAAAGTATTTCACAGAATATACTGTAAAGTGAATTGACTGCATATTTTGTTGGCGAAGCAACTTGCATCTATATAGTTCCCTTCACATGAGGTAGCGAGTTGGAACTCAGAATTGACTGTACTGCCCAAGAGAGACATTGGCGAGGAGTAAAAAAAAATTAATGTATATGGCAGGGATGTGGTATTTGGAGATTATAGTATCCAGGCCTTGGAATGGTCTGTGTATCTAACGGACCCATGATAAGGGATCTTTGTTGTAAATGGCTGTTCTGCTGCCATCTGCTCATCAGGAACAACACAGCCACACAGAAGCTAATCCCACAGAGAGGGGAGTTTTAACATAGCTGCAACAGGAGAGGATAAGGCAGCCTCTAATCGTGAGGATTGGCAGGAATATGTTAAACACAACATTTCTGGAACCAGCACGATCTTCCCACAGTGAGGCACCCAGAAGTATGAGATAAGATGATTCCAGGGCATTAAAGAAGCGCAAAATAATTCAAAGCACTTTACAGTAATTACACTTAAGTGAGTTGACTAACACAGCGGTAAATTCACACATCGCAAGGTTCCATATAAGCCACGTGACTGAATGACCCATTTTATCTGGAGGATCACTGGCCAAGAAAAACCTCCCTCCTCTTTTTGAATACTGCGGTGGGATATTTAAGGACAACTGTACTCCACCTGATCAGGCAGACAGAGGACGTTGGTTTAATGTCTAATTCATACTTTCTATTTATGTAGCATTCATTTTAGTACTTCTCTGGAGCATCAGCTCGTGACTCTGAAATCAAGTCATAATATGGAGTTTGAACCCTCAACATTTTGACTCAGTCTATAGGTGTCAGCTTGGCTACCAACTGAGCCAGGCTAACAACTGTGATACAAACAGAAGTCACTGGGAACACTCAGCAGGTCAGGCAGCATCTATGAAGAGAGGAAAGTGAGAGGTAAGTGAGACAACTCACTTTCCTCGATCCATAGATGCAGCCTGACCAGCTGAGTGTTCCCAACGACTTCTGTTTTTATCTCAGATTTCCAACATTTGCAGTATTTTGCCTTTTGTTCAGGCTAACAACTGTACTCAAGATACTCAGTGAATGGAAAGATCTAATATCCCATGGTTGGCTTTATTTGTATTTTACAGTTTCTAAGTGCATAACAAAGGACACTGGGACACACTCCAAATCCAGCACAAATCATGTCTCGATGAAGTCCAGTTAAGCCACATTGTATTCTTCATGCAGTTAAACGTGTCTTTGTGAAAGCTCCATTAAAGTTCAAGGTGAACTCACACAAAACAACTGAAATAGCTTAGGAACATCTGAGTAATTGACAATATATCAACTTGGCTCAGATGGTAGCTTCCTAAGTAGTGGGACAGAAGGTTGTTGGTTCAAGCCCCACATCGCAACTTTTGAGCTCACAGTCTCGGCCAACAATCCAGCACAGAGGTTAAATCCAGCACACTGGCAGAGGTTAAATTCTTCAGATGAGACGTTACACTTAAGTTTAGACTGCCTATTTGGGCACAACATTATTAATAATAATAATTATCCTTGCATTTGATATAGCGCCTTATCACGTCTTTGAGACGTCTCAAAGCGTTTTACAGAATATACTATAAAGTGAATTGATTGTATATATTGTGGGTGAAACGTGGCAGTCAATTGCACATCACAGTGTCCCAGAAACAGTCGTGGATTGAGTGACCCAATTATTATTATTTTTAAGGAATTATTACCCCGGAAAAGCAATCTGCCAATCAACTAACAACCGGGTTTCTACTTATTGCTAGGTAAACAGAGGCGTGTGAAGTAAGGAAACTTGCCTAACATTTCACCCTGCCCGGGAACCATCCCAGGTCTCTCACTTGTGAGGCGAGTGCTCTAACCACTGAGCTACAGGACTTCATGATTGTGGATTTCTGGCCAACAACCCCCAAATAAATTGGTAGTTCTTATGGCTGTTTGTATAACATCGCAGTGTGCAAATCGTCTGTGTGTTTGGTTAAAAATGCACACTTAGCAGTACACTTGACAGAAATTCACTGTGAGACATTCTGACGTTTTAGACTCTGTATCAAATGCAAGGATAATTATGATATGGAAAGGTAGGCACAGCAAATGCATGACAGTCTAGATTTGGAAAGGAGAGGGTTATGCAGGACTTTTTTTATATTAAAGATTAAAAAAAAGTAATGTAATATTTTCAAAGCTGGAGCATTTGTACAATACACAGTCAAATTGTTGGCTCCTTTTGTGACTGTTGACGTATTTGAATACTGATACACATAATCCATTTTGCCATGATCCTTTACACTTGAATCATGATTGGTACAGATTTTGTTCAGTGGGATTGTGATACTAATAATCCAATCACTCATTGTATAAATGAATTTAAAATTCACATGCCTCCAGTACCAGGAGCTAATGCGCAGTTGATGATGGATGGACGTGCTGGGCTGACAATACTGAGTGCAAAGGAAATATGGGCATTGGAAGAATGTTCAATGCTAGAGCCAAGGTTATATATTTAAATCTCAGGCCATGGATTGGAAAATCTATGTGCCGAGAATGATCATGAAACACTTTGATGTATGTGGAGACTTTACTGGGATCAGGTGAAGGCTCATCTACTCAAGTGCATTTTAACATAGTCCTGTATCAATTTGATTAAACTCTTCTGTGAGAAGACACATTCACTTAATAGTTAAGCAATTCTTGCATTTGATATTGCGCGTTTAAATTGAGCTCATAGTCTGCACTGGCAAACTAACCCCAGCTCGGGTCTGAAATGCTGTACACTATCCAGCACCTTGGGACATCCTCCCGACGTGAAAGGCGCTATACAAATGTAAACTTGTTGTTGTTGTTGTTAAAGTCTTCAGATGAGATGTTAAACTGAAGTCTTGACTGCCTTTTTAGGCACAACACTATTAATAATAATAATAATACTTGCACTTGACAAAGCGCCTTATCACACCTTATCGAGACGTCTCAAAGCGCTTCACAGAATATATTGTAAAGTGAATTGACTGTATATTTGTGGGTGAAACGTGGCAACCAATTGCGCACAGCATCGTCCCACAAACAGTCGTGGATTGAAGCGACCAATTTTATTTTAAGGAATTATTACCCCCGGAAAAGCGATCTTCCAATTGACTAACAAACGGATTCCTACTTACTATTAGGTAAACAGCAATGGAAACATTTGCCTGTAAAATGCACAGTCACTGTACTTTACAGTGAATTCTGTGAAGCACTTTGAGATGTCCTCCCGGAATGAAAGGCTCGATATCAAATTTGGGGTAAGACAGGTGACACAGGCGAAAACACATCACCGTGCTTAAGGTATAAAAACGCAAATTATTTATTAGTTTGCTGCAGTCAAATTTTGATGTTTCCCCCTCTTCTGTTATAAAGTATAGCCTTATCACATACAAACATTACAAAGTGTTTCACAGGGAAGTTATTGTCAAGTGTAACAATTGTTTTTTGGAGATAAACGCAGCAGCCATTTTGCACACAGCAGGGACCCAACATTCAATCACAATGCAAATGAGTGATTTTATCTTGAGGATTATTAGTTGGGATACATTTTTAGGAACGTCTCCAATCCAAATGAGGTGCAAGGAACAGAGAGAGAGAGAGAGAGAGAGAGAAGGGGAAGACAGAGACAAATTGAGACATACAAAGAGTGACACATACAGAAAGATAAGAAACAGAGACAAAGAGATTGAGAGAAAGGTAGAGCAGAAATAAAGAAAGAGAAGAGTGGGAGCGAGAAACAGGTTGAGATACAGCGAGAATGAGTGGAGAGAAAGACAGAGTGACAGATAAAGAAAGAGGTAGAGAAAAAGAAAGAGAGAGAGAGGAGGTCACAGACACAGAACGATTGAGAGAAAGACCGACAAATAAGAGTGACAAAGTCAGGCAGACTCTGCCAGATAAGAGCATATTCTCTCTTGAAAGACTCTAAAATAACCGGCAGAAAAGAAGACAGAGAGGCAAATCAGTACTGTAAGAAAACAGCCTGCCCCAGCGAAAGGAAAACTTAATAGAACATTTGAGCTCTGCAATAACTTGATGTTTCATTCCTAAAATCCAGACTAAGGGAATGAATGAGCTGTAATCCTGTCTGAAATAGAAAAATCAGCGGTTCAAGTGAATGGCCTCACTTGAGCAACAAGGCTGATCCCCACTGCTAGTGTGATGAGATGTGGGGCTTGAACCCCTGGCCTTTTGACCCAGAGAGGAATGCTACCAAATGAACCAGGCTGGGAATGAAAAAATAACAACATCCCTCCTCAGAGCAAGGCTGATAAGAGACAGATTTTGTAAACGCCTCAGGACTGTGAAGGGACCAGAATTGGTGGCAGATGTTTTAGTTATAGAGCACTAAACCCCATTGTGGTCCTTCTGGGAATAGGAGGGCAATTGTCTTTTATTAATACGAGTTGTAAGCGACCATCTAGTTTGTTACTGACTGTTAAGCAACGTTAAATATTGGCAGATGCATCCACAGGGGAGAAATTGTGAAATTGGTCGCTAGAGGAAAGAGTTTCTCTTTGACTGTGTGAGGATCCAAGGTCAAATGTGTGAGCTTCTCGCTCAGTTAGATTTCTCCAGCTGAACCCATTTATAGTACTAATCTTTTAAAATATGTACATATCTTAAAAAATACACAGTGAGACACAAGCAGTGTCATCGTTTTATGACTGGATCCTGAGTCAAAGGGCAACTTGAAGGCCAGAGGATAACATTGATTGCTAGTACCGACTTGTGCTTCAAAATGTAAAGCTTTTACCATAACAGAGAAGCCAGCTAAGAATACAGCATAGGTTAGAATTTAAAATGATAAGAAGAAATAATTCTTCCATTTGATACAGCGCCTTATCACGTAATTGAGATGTCTCAAAGTGCTTCACAGGATATACCCGGTAAAGTCGTTTCACTGTTATTTTGTGTAAAGGTATGTACTTGTTTAGAAAACACTCGAAATTCCACCTGGTCTCAGTTAGCCCATAGGACCATTTTGTCTTGAATTGTAAGATCAAGAACAATAATTTACGTTTACATAACTCCTTTCACATCGGGAGGCCGTCTCCAAGTGCTTCCTTTTCCCAGCTCTCTGGAGGCCTGAACTGGGGGCTGAGGGTGTGGTGGGGGGAAAGGGGTGTGAAGAAAGAAAGCAGCTGAAAGCACAATCGAAAAGATAGGCATTTGATACAGCAAGGATTATTATTAGTATTACAGCAATAGTTTGCAGAATTGGGGCAAATTCTTGAATTGGAAGCAGTTTTTCTACGTTTAAAAATTTGAGAAATTTCCTCAATTCTGAGCTAACTTAAATTTTAAGACAAAAAGATTCAATGGAATTTCAAGCCTCGGATTTCAGCTTTGCTCAGTTGGTAAGAAGTCTCGTCTTTGGATCAGAAGATTGTGTGGGTTCAAACCCCCCGCCCCACCTAGATCGATGCTCCAGGGCAATGTTGGGGGTGGGGGAAGTGCTGCATTGCCGGAGGTGCCGTCCTATGGATAAAATAGAATTCTCCCTTCCTACTACTCACCATCAGCCTGGTTGGAGCTTTCAGGAGGGTCAAAAGATTGAGACAAACTAGTGTGTGGTTCGGTTTCCAGGCTGGGTGTGTTGTTCACCTCTTCTTCCTCTTCTTCCTCTTCTTCTGTGTTTGTTGACCTCATGTTAAATAAACCGCTAGGCAGCTCAGGCCTTTTAGGTGGCAAGTTCTGTCGAGGAATCAAAAAGATGTGAACATCTGAAGCTTCCCCCCCCGATAATCTTAACCCTCCTTTGCGGCCGGATTGGTTGGAGTGTTTTCATTGTTGTGAACAGTAAACACCTTGAACCGTTTTAGCATCTGTTTCGGGTCACAACGAATACAACGGATTGCAAATCTGCACCTGCTCTTGCTACAATGCACTGCTACTTCTCTTTTCCAAAAGCGTCTCTCACTTCATTAGTCCATCCCGCCATCTAGGTGTACGTTCAGCTTAGCTGAATTGGAAGCATTCCCTGTGGGTCAGAAGATTGTTGATTCAAACCCCACATCAGGACGCAGTCTTCACTGACACCCTAGTGTAGCAACCCTCTCTCAGGTTGACGTTAAATCATCCCGTAACGTGGTTGGAAAAGAGAAGGGATTTTCTCCTGGTGTCGTTGCTAATAACCCTCCAGGATTGATTGGCAACCTACACAAATTGGCTGCCTACAAAAAATATTCACTACAGTTGACACTACTGTGAGTGCTTTGAGATGTTCTGAAAGGATCAGGCGCTCTAAAATTGTAACTCTTCTCACTTTCTTTTCTGAGTGTGAACTCTCTATTCTCGACACCCCTCATCCTCTGAACTCTCTGAGGAACAATGCCACTTTGTCTCAAATCGCTACCGTTTAACAATTGGATTGAGATAATTTGCTGGTCTTGCTGCTCCCTATGGAACTCCATCCCAACATTCCCTTCGCCTTGCTCCCTCCCTTGCCTCCTTCAAGGCGAGTCTCAAAACCCTCCTCTTCGACCAGGCCTTCAGCTACCCTCCCTGCCCTCTACCCTCACCGTTCCTGTCCCCCAGCTTGGGTCCAAATCCCTGAATGTCCAGCGTCTTGGAACATTCAGGGATTTGGATCCGAGCTGGGGGTCAGGAATGGTGAGGATGGAGCGCAGGGAGGGTAGGAGGGTCAGAAGATTGTTGATTCAAGCCTCACATCCCGATGTGAAATTCACTAAACAAATGTAATTTAGTATTGTATTGTGCAACCTCCCATTCCAGCAAATGGCTGGTCAAGGCTTTCATCCCATCATCCTGGCCTGGATTGAATCCCAAATCCCTGAGGTGCAATACTGTGTGTTCTGTTATAAAAGGGTAAATGACACTGATCGTTTCAGGTTCTTTTTGACGCTTTGCGGCGGTAACCAAGTTTCGGATCTCAAATTGAATGTGAGAACAACAACAACAACAAAATTACATGTGTAAAGCGCCTTTCACGTCGGCCGGACGTCCCAAGGCGCTGGACATAGTTACGGACCTGAGCTGAGGGTTGGGGTCGGGGAGGGTGCAGGGCAGGGGAGGGGGAAAGCAGGGAGATCGAAAGCATGGTCGAAGAGGAGGGTCTTGAGATGGGTCTTGAAGGGTCTTGAGACTATCATTTTTTTATGTAACAACGATACACACTCACATGAGAGGTGCCACGCGACTGAAGTCAAGGCGTAAAGCGTCCTCCCACAGTTACAAAGCCATTAAAACCAAAGCCAAATTCAAACAGAAAGCTGCTGGTTCTCTGGGGAACCAGTCGAAGGATAGATCCCCTTCTCAGTGTAAGACATAAGCACTAAATACTAATGAGACATTAACATTCCTACACAATTGTGCTTGAGCCGCCACATTCTACAATATTAACCCTGTGCTGCCTCAACCAATTTCCGCGCTCTCCTTTTCTCACGTCCCAATTAAAGAAAAAGACCCACGAGTTTTTACTAGTGTCAAAGCTAAGATCAATGGATTTAATGTCTGCGATTTCCCCACCTGCGGTGTTCCCCCGCTCCCGACACTGACTAGAGGAGATGCTTTCACGAGGAGTTCAATTCGTACTTGTGAACATGGTGGCAATTTACCCCTCTCTCTCGCTGTTTGTGTTGTGGTTTCTCTTCCGAGTGCTTTTCAAACCCATTTTTTTCTCTTTCTCATCATAACTTCCTAACTAAATTCTGTCTGGTTTCCTCTTAACAATGTTCCAGCCATGCAATGAATGCTCGTTCGGGCATCCCACAGCCGTGCTTGAGAAGACAAGAATGCCTCACACAGCCAGCGTCCTCAATTTCCTCCTCTCAGGCATGAGACGAGCAAAGGTCACCTTCTGAGGGGAAATAGAGGAGAATATCTGTCATGACTGGATTTCAACTGCATGAGAATCCATTGGCATTTCTTGAGATGGTTTATTTTTTATACTTATTTTATTTATAATTGGCTGCCGCGTTTGGCCCTCAAAATCCACAGTCAATCCACTTTACAGTATATTCTGTGAAGCGCTTCGAGATGCCTTGGAGATGCGATAAGGCGCTACATCAAATGCAAGGATTATTATTATTATTGTTGTCACATAAAAAAATTACAGAGTCTCAATATTTGGATTTAGCTGAAATGGAACACATGGCCACCTTTCGGAAAACTATGCATAAATTTCACACCCGTTTGAAAAGATAAAAGAAAGCAAGATCTCTTAAAAACGTTTGATGTAATGCGTTACTTTTCCTGAAATACTGGGCAGTGTCCATCAGATTTAGGATAGGAATTAGGAATGGATTAGCCCCCAAGCGAGGGTTAAGAATGTTTTGCTTCGGAAATAAAAACAATGTGTAATTTCTAAACTTCTAAAAAGCAATTCTGTGAAGGCGGATGGAACACGCATAGAGAGAAAAAGAGAGAGAGAAAGCGAGAGAGAGACATACACACTCAAAAGATACATTCATCATCTGTGGACAATAAAAACACATAAAATCTATGGAGCAAACACACAAGGTAACACACTCGATTATTATCTATGCACACGACTGTTTGTGGGACACTGCTGTGCGCAATTGGCTGCTTTCTTTCACCCAAAATATAAAGCCAATTCAGTTTACAGTATACTCTGCAAAGCGCTTTGAGACGTCTTGACGATGTGATAACAACAACAACAACAAGATTCCATTTATAGAGCGCCTTTCACGTCGGGAGGACGTCCCAAGGCACTGTACAGTTGGGTCAGGACCCGAGCAGGGGAAATGGTCAGGTGAGGGGAGGGAAGGGAGGGAGCGAGGAGGGGGTAGAGAGTCGAGAGGGGAGCTGAAGGTACGGTCAAAGAGAAAGGTCTTGAGACCGGCCTTGAAGGAGGAGAGGGAGGAGGCGGCGAAGGCACTGGGGGATAGAGTTCCAGAGCCTCGGGGCTGAGAGGCTGAAGGTCCGGCCACCGATGGTAGGGCGGTTGGGGCGGGGGATGTGGAGGAGACCGGAGCCAGAGGAACGGAGGGTACGGGCAGGTAGGTAGGGGGATAGTAGGTCGGAGAGGTAGGAGGGAGCGAGGCCGTGATAAGGAGCGATATCAAATTCAAGGATTATTATTGTTATATTACAAGGTTATGCACATTAACGTTGGAGTCATTGGGATATCCGCTTGACGTGAAAGGCGCTATACAAAAGTAATTTTGTGTTTTGCATATGCTGTATTTCATACCAAAACCTCACAGCACCATGGGGAGGCAGGACAATGATTCTTAACATGGTAATCCCCTTTGCAGTTTCCACAAAGTCCCTTAGTTCAAATAATGTCTGAGTAAGCATTTTGCTGGCGTCCAAGTGATTTATGGTAAAGTCAGTAGAATTAGAGAAAAGTAATGAACTGCACAATGTTCTCGATGTACAGGGATTTCAGAGCAAACTAAAAGATTCATCTTGTGTTATTTTGAGTAGAAAATCAAATGACAGCATCTTTTTTAAAAAATAATCAATCTTAAAGGGGAAACAAAGCAATCACATTTCCGAACTCTAGTACATAAATAAATTCTAAACGAGTGTGAGCCAATTAAAGCAGCATTTCCCACTAGTTTTTCTTCGACACAAAGAATACCTCAAAGTGCTAAATCTGAAATGAAATAAAAATCATAGAACTGATCGCATTGTAGGGTTTTATGAGACGGAAGAGGTTCAAGCTACATCATAAGCACTCCAAAGCTCCAGCTGCCTAGGTGATTATTTAAAGCCTAGGAAGTGTTTGAGGCTGAAACGTAATATTTTGTTTTTATTGAATCATTTATATTAATCACTCAAAGCTTTGCCATTATTTCTTCTAACCCGTTGTAGGGTTTTTGAGACACGTGCATTGGATGTTCAAACACAAGACAAACAATAGAGCAGGGATGCAATATCAGGCTGTAGAGACACAACTCATTTTGAGATTCCCCTTTTCCAAAGACCAGAAGGGGTCACAAACAGATGGAGCCAAAGGACAGCATCTGGCACTATATAAGTACAAGGTGTTGTTATTCAGCTCATTGCCTTTTTTGATTGATTTTTTAAATGTTCCCGCGTTTCACCCTCAAAATATACAGTCAATACACTTTACAGAATATTCGGTGAAGTGCTTTGAGATGTGATAAGGCACTATATCAAAAACAAAAAATATTATTATTATTATTTTGCAGGACCTTGATGGTACAAATGACCGTTTGTCGACAAAACATGTTGTTACATTTTTGACAGCAATTAGCACTTTGAAAACGTTTGGTAATATCATGCGCTGCTAGAAAAAGTTCCTTTCTCCCCTTTAAGAGCATTAAAATCACTGCAAAGTGGACTTGCTCAAAACCTACTGCAGTTAAAGTTAGGGCTCACACCATCAACAGAGGAATAACTCTGTAAAAAAAAATACAAGAACAGCAGTTTCCTGACACCTGATCTGAAACTGTTTGCAAAAGAACCTTTAACCGTTACACAAAAAAATCCAACATTTATTGTTGCTTTTAAAAAATAATGCTCCCAAGCTGAAATGTTACAGACAAAAGAAATGTTGTCGAAAACATGCTAAGAGTGTGCCTGGAGCCCCAATTTACTTAGCCAAGATCAAACATGCAAATCCTTTGAGCCCTGCCTGGAATATCTAACTAATCATTCATCCAGAAAAAAGGACTAATTAGTAACCTCTGCAGAATTCCAGCAGCCACTATCACACATGTACAGACCGCTGCTTATCTCAGCCTGGGGTGGGTTTATGTGTTCACCAGTCTCATAGGTAATTTAAAACACCGCAGCTAAAAATCATTATTGCACCGAAAGGTTTACTGCCTCTTTAGCTATAAATAATTCAGACAATAGATTTTTCAGTTAAATAATCAACTCTCTGGTGTGCTGCGTAAGTATCTCATTTTACAACCATGGCAGCCTATGGGGGTGTTTTAATTCTTGATTATATAGAACAAATCTATCCTTTTCTTTCAGCCAGGCACTTGTTTATATCCCTGCCTCAGTGAGAATAGATAAGAATATATAGCAGTAGCTTTCTGGGCCGTTGCCAATGTAAAGTTACGTACAACAGAACACGGTATCCGCTCATAATAATAATAATCCTTGCATTTGATATAGCGCCTTATCACGCCTTCGAGACGTCTCAAAGCTCTTCACGGAATATACTGCAAAGTGAATTGACTGTATATTTTGTGGGCCAAATTCGCAGCCAATTGCGCACAGCAGCGTCCCACAAAGTCGTGGATTGAGTGACCAAATTATTATTCTTACTTTTTTTCCTTTTGAAGGGATTATTACCCCAGGAAAAGCAACCCGCCAATTGATTAACAACCGGGTTTCTACTTACTGCGGGGTAAATAGAGTTGTGTAGAATAAGGAAACTTGCCAAACATTTCACTCTTCCTGGGAATCGAACCCAGGTCCTTTTGTTTGTGAGGCGAGTGCTCTAACCACTAAGCTACAGGACTGCAAGCTTAGCAGAGACGGGTGACAATGTTTTTTTTATGTATTTATTGAGTTGATTGTTATGTTTAGCAATTTTAATATTTTTGTTTACGTTAAATGATTAAGTTTAATGTTCAAGTCTTACGATTGGAAAAGTCCTCGGAGTGGAAATTTGGAGATTTTTCTAAAACCTTTATTTTATTTTCATAAGGGTTGGAATGGTTTAAAGACTGGGGTCTGACACTGTGCGATTCTTCACTTTGTTTGAGCCGATCCAGCACTTAATTACACAGATAAACAGCAATTCACATATCTGTAGACTTACCCCAAGAGCTCCTGTCTTTAATTTAAACTTCTTTCCCCCTTTCATTGCCCCAAAGAGGGGTAGAGTGATTTTCTTGGGTTTGGATTCGAGTTGTGTAGACAAACCAATGTCCCTGAAATGATAATATATTTAGAAGTTAGGACACATTAAACAACTTTACTGGGGCAGTTTCCTTGCAGTTGAGCTTTCAGTCATCATCCATTTTGCACAAAGACCAAAATAATAATAATAATAATCCTTGCATTTGATATAGTGCTTTTCAAGTCCTCTAGATGTCCCAAAGCGCTTCACAGAATATGCTGTAAAGCGATTGACTGTATATTTGTGGGTGAAACACGACAGCGAATTGCACACAGCAGCGTCCCACAAACAGTCGGGGATTGAATTAAATTAAAAAAATCACATTGATAGTTTCGATATTTTTGTACTGATTTACACAGCACCAAAGAAATCACCCTTTGGAACTGCTAGGCAAAGGCAGTGGGATGCAGTTCCAAAGGTCTCCTTTAAGGCACATCTGAAGACTCTCCTCTTCGATCGCACCTTCGGTCACCCTCCTACCCCCCCTGCTCTTCATCCCTCCTGATCCCAGCCTCCTGTTCGGGTCCAAATCCCTGACTGCCTTTGGACATCCTTAACATGAAAGGCGCTGTAGAAATGTAATCTGTTGTTATTGTTGATTCACAATCTAATCTCATCCTGGGGAATGGTGTAAGCATCGTTGTCACTGGGTGATGAGTGCCACTCCCCCAGTCCCCGCACTGTTAGTTAGGTCACACTCCTGATCACTGTCCCACAATGAAAGATGCACATCCATGGGCACTAGCAGGAGGCTCTTACATCCTCTCACAAAAGCGTCTTGGAGAACATTCCATTAAAAATTGATCCGGGATGAGAACTTCCCAAACCAAATCTTTGTGTGGAAATAAAATAAAATTTCCAAGAGGCTGGATATAATAATAATAATAATCCTTGCATTTGATATAGTGCTTTTCATGTCTTCCAGGAAGTGAATTGACTGTATATTTGTAGGCAAAATGTGGCAGCCAATTGCTCACAGCAAGGTACCATGGACAGTCATGGATGAAGTGACCAATTCATTTGTTTTTTTGAAGGGTTATTATCCCTGGAAAAGGGATAAAAGGCCCAACATTTCACGCTGCCGGAAATAGAACCCGGGTCCCCTGCTTGTGAGACGAGCCCTCGAACCACTGAGCTTCAGGACTCCACAAAAACATAGCACAATCTGTAGCACTGAAGCACTACTCCCAGTTAAACGTTCCTGTACCAGTACATATGTAAATGCACATATAGTAAATGTACCTAATGCACATACAGCTTTATTATTATTATTATAGATAGCTTTGGTGACCTACATTTCCAGCAGTGATGTAACTCCAGTCTGCCCCACTTTCAAAGGATGTTTCGAAACTCTTTTCTCACGGTAGCTCACCAAATGCAAATGCAGAACAAATGGGAAAGTTTTCTTGCGACTTACCCGGTCCTCAGCCCCGGCAACGCTGTCGGGGTCACAAAGTTTATTAACTTCTGTAACTTTTGCTGTTCCTTCTTCAGCTCGAAGGAGCGGAGGTGAAGCTTCTTGCGAGTGACGTTGTCTAAGGCTGCCCCCGCTCGGATCTCAGTCATGAAGGCGTCCAGCGAGTCTTCTGCGGGTGACTGGACGTGAGCTGCCCACAGAGTTAGGAATAAGTAATATTAAATAGTAATATAATAATAATAATTAATTGGTCACTCAATCCACAAATGTTTATGGGACACTGCTGTGTGCAATTGGCTGCCGTGTTTCGCCTACAAAACACAGTCATTGCACTTTGCAGGATATTCTGCGAAGCGTTGTGATGTCTCAATAATAAGATGCTACATCAAATGCAAGGATTATTATTATTGCTATTGTTATTATTATTACAAGGATTTCAGTTGATCAAGTCATCAAAACTTTCTAACCAGCAAATAATAATAATAACAATAATCCTTGCATTTTCTATAGGCCATAACTAAACATGTCAAACCGCTTCAAGGGTAATTACTGTCAAGTGTAGTGACTGTATGTGTAGGCAAATGTAGCAGTCAATCTGTGCACAAGACACCAGGGAAATTCCTTCTTCTTCGAATAGAGACACTGAGGAACCTTGGTTTAACATCTCACATAAGGATGGTACCTCCAACAATGAGCTTTCCCGTAGCCTGTACTATGAGCTCCAAATCCCACTTTGGGGCTTGAGCTCACAACCTTCTGACCCACATGAGATGCTGCCAACTTTGCCAAAATGATGCCAACTAGGAAACATGGAACCCATTTGAACAGATGCCTCAGGAGTTTTTTTTGTTTGCCATATCTCTTACCATTTTGTTAAGAATTTTGGCTTCACTAGTTATAAGATCCTTTTTTGCTTTGCAGGCTTTCGGGGGAAAATATTAAAACCAATGCATTGCAAAAGGTGGTGAAAAAAATTTGAATTCCCCGACTTTTACTTTGATCAGCCCAAACATTCAACAAGAAAGGTTGGGCGGGATGGGAAGAAATAAGGAAAGCAATGTATATCCACCTTCAGTTTAATTCACTGAGCTCAGTCAGTTGAAAATCAGAAGAATAGTTATGAAAATAAAGGTGATGCATTGCATTGTTTTCAAGGAAATCATGGGCATACACACACACGCACACATCACACACCACACACATCATCACACACACACACACATCACACACACATCACGTACACACACACATCACGTACACACACAAACACACATCACGTACCCACAAAATATAGTCAATTCACTTTACAGTATATTTTGTGAAGCTCTTTGAGATGTCTCAAAGACATGATAAGGCACGACATCAAATGGAAGGATTATGATCATTATTATTATTATTACCAATCTAATGTTGAAGAGTTGCAGCAGAAAAAAAGTTTGCAAAAATTATTTTGACACACAGAGGGTTGTTAGAATATGGGAAGCCATAACATAAATGCCTGTTGTCGCTGACCCCATGAAAGCATTTAAAAGGGGATGAGATGAATACTTCAGGACAAACAGTAAAGGGTTTTGAGGGAAAAGAACAAGGGAATTGGACCGTATAGCTGACACCAGCACAGATACAATAGACCAAATGGCCTCCTTGTGTGCTGTAAATATCCTGGGGTCTCTCTTGTACGACAGAACTATTAGAAAGAAATAGCGGCAAAGTCAAGCTTCATTTTACATTGCCCCGCTGGGAGACACTTTCCATCACGCCATGCCATTGGCTATGGGCACAGAGAGGCTTTGGCATAGAGATTCATCGCTGTGCAGTGCTTGGCTGTAAGGACAACACAGGTAACAAATGGCCTGGGGAGTCAATCAATATCAGAAGATTCATAGCAACCTACAGAAGGTTTAACCAAGGACAGACAGAAACCCAAGTTGCTGTCACACGGAGACGGGATTCAGAAGTTCGGCTCAGAAACACAGTCATCTACAATTCATGGAAGGAACCTGGGATATTATACTGGAGGCTGTGAGAATAAGCTATGTGCCCTTTGTGCAACCTTAATTAAGAAAGTAATGTAAAAATTTAAATAACTGTGAGCTGCTGCATTGAGGAGAATGTACAGCGCTAGGTTTACTAACCTCGTCACATCTGTAAGATGCCTCTACTCAAAGCCTTTTCAGAAGGGGGCACAGATATCTCATTACAATAAAGATTACGTTGGAAAATTCAATAGTTTATAAAGCAAACAGCATTCGCAGTCCTGCTAGTGGTATACGGGGGCACAGCAGCACTCATCTCAAGCTGATTTGCCCCTCGGAGTGCGTGGGATGGGCATTTTTGGCTTCATTCCAAAATGCTGCCTTTTACTCGCAAGGTTTAACCGGTCTCTCACACAGAACCTGATCAATTCTGCTTTCTGTAAAATAACAACTCGAAAGTACTACTGCAGCATTCGTGCTCAGAAAGTCGGGGCTAAAACATCTGAACCATCTGAGACACGATGATAAAAAGGTGGAAAGTTTACCCACTCAAATTCATCACGAGCCCTTCTTTGCTTCTAGCAATTTTTTTGTAAGTTTGATTTCTTTCAAATGGGAAGTGTTTATTGATGGCTCACTGGCTAATGCCTTGTCTGAAGGAATTCACCTATGGTGAGAGGCTGTTTCTTTCATAATCGATGGGAGAGCTTATATTCCTTAAGAGCAGAGGTGTGATTGCCTGAGGGGTGATTTGATTGAGGTACTTAAAATAATGCAAGCAATTGACAGGTTACCTACTGGATGATATTATCCTGTGGAAGGGGAATCCATTACAAGGGGGCATAACCTTAACATCAGAACTAAAACAGTCAGAGCTGAGGACAGGAAGCATTTCTTCACACAGAGGGTGGTAAAAATACAGAATGCTCTGCCTCAGAAAGCTGTAGAGGAATGTTTCAACGAGAGACAGACAGATATTTGAGTTATTAAGGGGTATGACGACCGGGCGGGTGCTTGAGATTAAACGATCTGCCAAAGTTTTTCCAAACTGAGCTCCTTAACCCAGTCCCCTTCTCTGAGAAAGGGAGAAAGAGAGAGAAAGTTTTATTAAAAACAAAAATATGCACTCTGGCTGTGTTCCTACTCTATTATACTCTGTTTAAAATCACAGGTTTTCTGTTGAAGACTGCGAAAAGATGGAAGTATTCACTTGACGTAGTAAGCAAATGAAAACCAGTACACTCATTAAGTTAACAGTTTGAATCCATTCACTAGATCGTAAATTCTAGAGAAATAATCTGCCTTTCAGATGATCAACTTGCCCCTTTTTTGAGCTGGGACAGTCTTTTTTTAAAGAACAGTCTTTTTTCAATCAGCACAGTACTCAGGCAGTGTCCTGTAAAGTATCTCGCTTCATTTAAAAACTACAGCATTTAAAAATCACCCATTAAGTGGACTAAGGTTTACCTTTGCCAGATACTCTCAACTTTGATTCAACGTCAACAAGCTCTTCTTCCACTTGAGCTAACTTGGCAACCTGCAGGCATAGACATTGAATTAAAGGGGAGGTGAGAAACAAAAATGTCTTTACACATATGATTTTAGAGATACTTAATAATAACAATCCTTACATTTGGAAAAGCGCCTTTCACATCAGAGGGATGTCTCAAAGTGTTTAGCAGGATATAATGTAAAGTGTAATGACTGTATTTGGCAACAGCCAATTTGCACACAGCAATAATACCCTTAGATTGGAAAATTGAGAATGTTACCCCTTTCTTTAAGAAGGGAGGGAGGAGAAACCAGGAAACTACAGACCTGTCAGCTTAACGTCAGTTGTAGGGGAAATACTGGAATCCATCACCAGGGACAGAATGACTGAACACTTGGCTTGAGCTAGTCAAAGAGAGTCAGCATGGGTTTGTGAAGAGTAAGTCTTGTCTGATTAATTTAGTTGAATTTTTTGAGGTCGCTAAAATGGTGGATTAGAGAATGTCTTTGGATGTTATTTATATGGACTTTCAGAAAGCATGTAATAAGGTTCCACACAAAGATTATTTGTGAAAATGGAAGCACATGGAGTCAGAGATAACCTTGTGACATGGCTTGGTAATTGGTTGGGAGGCAGGAAACAAAGAGTAGAGATAAAGGGAACATTCTCTGATTGGTGGGGCGTGACAAGTGGTATTCCCCAGGGGTCTGTACTGGGACCCCAGCTATTCGCCATATATATAAATGACTTGGATGAAGGAATAGAAAGTTTTATATCCAAGTTTGCAGACAACACTAAGCTAGGAGGCTCAGTAAGTTGTGTAGATGGGAGCAGGAAGTTACAAAGGGACTTAGATAGATTAAGTGAGTGGGCAAAGCTGTGGCCCAGATGGAGTTCAACGTTCAAGTGTGAGGTCATCCACTATGGACTGAATAAAGATAAAGCAGAATATTTTTTTAATAGGGAGAAATTAAGAACTGTAGAGGAGCAAAGAGATTTGGGTGTCCATATCCACAAATCACTAAAAACTATTTCCCAGGTGCAGAAACTAATCAAAAAAGTGAATGGAATGATGGCCTTTATCTCAAGGGGCCTGGAATACAAAGGGGAAGAAATGATGCTTCAGCTGTATAGAACGTTAGTCAAACCCTATCTGGAGTACTGTGTTCCCCAGTTTCCCCTGATTCCTTTCAAATTAAGATTTTTCCTAAAAATTCCACCTACTTACATTTAAGACAATGCTCTTAAGACGCAACATTTTAAAGAACACATGTCATTGTTGCACTCTCATGCCCTGGCCTATCCAGCTTTGATTGCCCTCTTGTGCAAAGAAATAATTCTTGGTGTCGGCACTAACACGTGTGATGATCTTGACCTGTGCGTCTTGGCGAACCTTAACAAATTGTTCAGTCACTGAATGAACAGATGCAACTGCTTGACACAGAAGTAATGGGGTTTCATTGTGCGCAGTCAAGGACAATCACCATCATTTTGGACCAGTGCAGGATGTGATTTTCATAAGGAGAATGATAATCATGACGGAACACCTCTGTGTAACTCCTGCTCCAGCTGCACAATAGGATTCACATTTGCAAAGCTAAACGGGGTCGTTTGACAGCTTCTAATGGCTTAATAAAAACTTGTTCAAAATGGGCTAATGACTTGCTCTCAGCCTCATAGAGGGCCAGCAGCACATTTATTTTTAAATGGCGTTTGGTAATGGCGATGTCTGATAGAAGGAGGGCAGCTGATTTGGAAACCTTTTCTACTGACACATTTTGGGGACTTACAAAATATTCTTGTCGCTCTTTAAGAACTCTGTCATGAATAATTTTCTAGGTATGTAAGAAAAACGGATATGGCAAAAAACCCACAGTATTTTAATATTCAAACATATGAAACAAAGTGGTGCAGGAATGCTAATGCAACTCTTAATGGGTTCATACTTGTTAGTTGATTGGCGGATTGCAATTCCGGGTCTAATAATTCCTCCCAAAAAATAATAATAATTTAGTTATTCAATCTACGACTGTTTGTGGGGCACTGCTGTGTGTTTCGCCCCCAAAATATGTAGTCAATTCACTTTACAGTATCTCCTGTGAAGGGATTCGGTCTGTGAAAAGGAGGGTGGTAGGTGAAATGGTGAAGTTGCACAAAAGCAGCCTGGTTAGGGAGGAAGGAGAGCTGAGGGTCGAAGCAAACACCGAGATTAAGCACTGTTTCAGTGGTCAGATTCTGCCACTGTCAAGCGCTCCAGGACGCTACTCTACGTGAAGAGCGCAATATAAATCCACGTTGTTGTCGTTGTTGAGTTGGAGAGACAGGACAAGAATTCTATTCCAAGATATTAAGTCAGAGGAACTCCTTTCACCATTTTCTTCCTCCAAACTTAAACTTGGCATCATCTAAGCACTATTAATTTCCAATCGTGCTGGTGCCCTGCATTAGTCCTTGATCATGGGATTCAAAAAGAAACTAATAGTTAGTCTCTTACCAGGGATTTGTAAGTCTCTGGCTTCTCCTCCACCTTCCCAGCTTTCTTCATCCTGTTCAATCTTTTCTTCTCAATGACTCCAGTGCGATCCAAGAAAGTATCTTCATCACTGTCGTAGAAATCGTCATCTTCCCAGTTTTTAGATTTCCGTTTCCGAGAAACTGGCAAGAGAGGAGTCAAGATGCCATTACCCAGAGAGATGCAATGCAGCCTCTTCCACTTAGTTCTGAAACACTATCCCAATTATACAACCATAAATGCTGTAGCTCAGCGGTTAGAGCACCCGTCTCGCAAGCGAGAGGACCTGGGTTCGATTCCTGGGCAGGGCAAAATGTTAGGCAAGTTTCCTTACTCCACACGCCTCCGTTTACCTAGCAGTACGTAGGGATCCGGTTAGCAGATCTCTTGTCCGGAAGTAATAATCCCTTCGAAAATAAATAAAGAAAAATAATAATTTGATAACTCAATCCACAACTGTTTGTGGAACGCTGCTGTGCGCAATTGGTTGCCACGTTTCGCCCACAAAATACAGTCAATTCACTTGACTGTATATTCTGCGAAGCGCTTTGAGACGTTATTATTATTATTTTGAACCTATCAACCTTTGCCCCAGTTTCTTCCAAGGGCTTTTCAAACACAAGTAGGACACATAACACACAATAAGGTAAAAAAATGTGAACAGGACCATGAAAGGGTGATGGGAATTCCACTCAATGGATAGCACATCAAACAGACATCTTTATGAGCAGAATCTTATTGAATGCAAGTATTACAGTATTGATTAATTTCTTATCATCTTTTATTCTAATGAGTAGTTAAACCAAGCTGGCTTATAATATGCATGGATGTTAAAAGATCCAATGCGTTCATTTCAAAAAGGAAGAAGCTAGCATTTCAATCATGCTTTATACATCTAGTCTCCAGAAAGAACCTGCAATTCATGGTGCCTTATAAAGTCAAGAGGTTCACAACTGTTTTGCAGTAATTACTCTCAAGTATCTGTTTTTATAGGCAAATGCGGCAGCCTTTTTGCGCACAGCACAGGAAGATCCCAAACCCAGTTAACAGGTGAATAATGTATCCAGAGGACGCTGGCCCGGACACAGCTTATTCTTTTTGAACAATGTCATGCTATGCTTGATGTCCAACTGAAGAACAAGAAGAGGTGACCTTGCTTTAACATAACCTCTGAAAGATGGCAAGTCTGAAAATGTAGTGGTCACTTCAGTGCTATTATTGGGTACAGAATGCCCAGACTCTGACCTCAAGTCCATAGTTTGCCGCAGACAACTCAATTTAACAACTAACGTAATAGAATCATAGAATTATACAACACAGTTTATTCTTATCTTATCCAATTTCTCTACCGTCTCCTCCGATACTGTGGCATTGGCTGCATCCTCTCCTTTTGTAAAGGTAGATGCAAAATACTTATTCAGTACGTCAGCAATGCCCACTGCCTCCACAAGAAGATTTCCTCTATGGTTCCTAATTGGACCCATCCTCCCTTTGATTAACCTTTTATTCTTTATATGCTTATAAAAAAACCTTAGGGTTCCCTTTTATGTTACCCGCACATCTTTTCTCATATAATCTCTTTGCCCCTCTTATTTCCTTTTTCAGTTCTCCTCTATACTTTCTATATTCTATTTGATTATCCTCTGTATTTTGGACCTGACATTTATCATAAACCTCCTTTTTCTATTTTATTTTAATCCCAATTTTCTTACTTATCCATGGAGGTTGGGATGCCCTACCTTTCCCCTTTGTGGAATGTATTTGTTCTGTTCCCGAACTATCTCCTCCTTGAAGGTATTCAATTAGCTGTTTTATCTGCCAATCTTTCTTTCCACCTTGGCTAGGTCCCTTCTTAACTCACTAAAATTAGCCCTCTTGAGTATTTTGAGTATTTTGAGTATCTTCACCTTTGATTTTATGGCCCTTTCCATAAGTACTCTAAACCTAATGATGTTGTCCAGATGCTCTCCTACTGAAACCTGCTCCACTTGCCCCACTTCATTCCCCAGAACTCGATCCAGCACTGCTGCCTTCCTTCCTTGCTGCAAACATACTGATCCAGAAAGTTATCCTGCACACATTTCAGGAATCCTTCTCCCACCTTGCCCTTCACACTCTTATTTTGCCAGTCTATGTTAGGATGATTGAAGTCCCCCATTATCAGTACTCGATTGGTTTTGCATCTTTCTGAAATCTGCTTGCAGATTTGCTTGTCCATCTCCTTCCCACTATTTGGTGGTCTATGGTATACATCTAACAGAGTATCAGCTCCTTTTCTGCTCCTTAACTATAACCAAATGGATTCTGTTTTTGTACCCTCTAGTACACTGTCCCTTTCCAGGGCTGTAACTGTGTCTTTAATCAATATTGTCACCCCACTCCTTTTTTTTCCCTTCCCTATCCCTCCTGAATACATTGTAGCCTCCCATTTCTGCCCTTGTTTGAGCCAGGTCTCCGTTATTGCCACTGCATCATAACCCCATGAGGCAACTTGAGCTGCAGCTCACCAATCGTGTTTGTCGCACTCTGTGCATTTATGCCATCCAAGACCGACTGAGTCTGTTCTGCATTTCTCCCATGTCTAATCCCTCCTTTATCTGGACTACTCCTTATTACATTGCTATTCTTTGAGACGTCTAGAAGATGTGAAAAGCGCTATATCAAATGAAAGGATTATTATTATTATTATTCATCTCTCCCAGCCTTCTATGTAACTTGTTTCTCCTCCCTGATGCTACATCCTGATTCCCTTCCCCCCTCAAAGTTATTTTAAATAATAATAATCCTTGCAATTGATATAGCGCCTTATCACTGAGCTACATGACTCCACACTTTCTACAGAAAGAAATGCTTAGTACCCTTCCCTCTCATAATTCTTCATTATCCTTCATTAGTTCAATTTTTAAACTGGTCAGCTTTAGTGTAAAACAAAACTAACTTCTCTTCATAATTGAAGCCACTCATCCCTGGTAACATCAGAGTGAATATAAGATTTTTTTTACACAGAGTTGTTACAGTCTGGAATGCACTACCCAGAACGGTGGGGGAACAGATTCAATAACAACCTTCAAAAGGAAATAAGATAGGCACTTGAAAAGGAAAAATTTGCAAAGATGTGGGGAAAGAGCGGGGGAGTGAGACTGATTGGGTAGCTCTTCCAAAGAGCACGATGAGCCGAATGGCCTCCTTCTGTGCTGTAATATTCTATGATTCAATTCCATGAATCAGCGCTGATTCTTTTCCAATCCTTTGCCATCCCTTCTGCAATGTACAAACCTGCTTCCTGTCGCAAGACTCCTCTGGCGTCTAGGATCCTGCAGGCGTCCAACGAGCATTGAATCATGGCTTCTTTCTTCTTGCCGCTGTGCGTGACCTCTGCGACAAGCTGTTTCCCCAGGGCATCATCTACGGGTAGCCTGAGGGAGGGTCAGAGATACTGTCATCAAGAAAACTTACAAGCAGAAAATCCCGGTGTCAATAGGCAAGGTGCAAACAAGTTTAATTAGACCTGCCAGTAAAAGTAAAATATACTGCAGGCGTTCTTAATTCTCCCCTGCCTCTTGTTGTATTGCATTGATGTGTGCAATTGGTTGCCGTGTTTTGCCTACAAAATACACAGTCACTAGACTTTACAGGATATGCTGTGAAGCGCTTTGAGACGACTCAATGGGTGAAGAGGCCCAATATCAAATGCAAGGATTGTTATTCATTGTTATATTGTATCCCACTGCAGTGTACCAATATACTGAGGGCAACACTGGACACCAATTTACAAGCAAGTCCTACTGTCCACAAACCCATAGCTAAATGGACCAAAGATAAGACGGCATTTATTACAGTTTAAAACAAGGACTAGACAACAAGGCCTTCCCAGTAATACTTGCATTCCATATCATAGAAAGTTAAATCGGGTGTAAAATATCATGTTCCATAACAAAATTCATTTTTTATGGAATATTTTCATGTAACGCATTGTGTTTTCCTATTGATTCCCAAAGACTGGCTGCTGCACTCCACTCCCCTGCCCTCCAGATTTTGCCACTATCAATGGGGCCCCAGGTTTTCTGGGCTGTCCTTGTTGTTGCTGAACATGGAGTTTTGGCATCGCTTCGTGGATTTAATCCCGTGAAGCTTCACTGAATCATCGGCTTTGGGTCAGGATCAAGAATCTGACCGCTTGTGGGATTCCAAGATAGTGGGACTGAATATATCATCACCATAATAATCCTTTGCATTTGATATAGGCCCTTATCGCATCTTTGGGCCATCTCAAAACGCTTCACAGAATATACTGTAAAGTGTATATTTTGTGAGCGAAATGTGGCAGCCAATTGCGCACAGCAGCGTCCCACAAACAGTCATGGATTGAGTAACCAAATCTTTTTTTTGGGAATGGATTATTACCCCGAAAAGCGATCCGCCAAATGACTAACAACCAGATTCCTACTAATTGCTAGGTAAACAAAGGTGTGTGGAGTAAGGAAAAACCCAATGTTTCTCCCTACCCGGGAATCTAGCCCAGGTCCTTAGAGCTTGCTCTAACCACTAAGCTACAGGACTCTACAAATCTGGTTTTAACTACTGTCAGGAAACATCCACTCCACCTGACTCGACAGATCCAGGTACCAGAACCTTGCTCCTCGTATTCATATTCCAGCTCCTCTCCTGCCAAGAGAAAAGAGATAGCATTAAATGAGGATCAGACAGTACATGCTGTGCAATTCCGCTCTATGAAGTTCGACATTAAACAAAGGAAAGCAAGTCTTTCAATTCGCAGCACGTTGCATATAAATCACTCCACTTCTGGCTGTACAAAACTATAGGTAAATAAAACACACTGCACAAAACATTACAATGTAGATGCCTTCGTCCTACCATGGGCTGATCAATAAAAACAGTCTCCAGTTCTCACTATAACGTAAGAACACATAGGAACAGGAAAACTCTGTAAAGTTTACCAAGCTTGTTTTGCGAGGCTACCATAATTGCTTTCTAATCCCATTTCTGCGTCTTTTCTCCAGTCCCCCTCCTTGAGTATCAATTCTATTTTACATTCAAACATCCCAGCTGATTCTGCCTTTCCACATTCTAGGGCTGCAATCCACATCTTCACAACCCTGTTTGAAGAAATATTTTTTCCGACCTTAGCTCTAATTATGTTAGGTCTAATTTGAAGGTTATGTCCCCTTGTTTAGGATGCAGCATATAGGTTGCTACTTCTGTTGACCAATGTACAAGGGACTCCACTGACAAATGTCAGTTTTGAACTAATGCCAATAGACTTAATACGTGATTTAATACGTGCCAATTTGCAAAACCATAGGCCATCCTGGGTGTCACCTTCCAATGCACTGAACATTCATCAGTTTCTCTCAGATACCCCGCTTCGCTATTGTTTTTATTGTCAGACATCAAGGAACAATAAAAGGTTCACGTTTTGTGGCTTTGCTCAGCTGTGGATAACGTTTCCTCTATTGAAAAACGTTTTGCATACAGATCAATGGTCCTGTCTCACAGCAGGAACAGTTGCTAAAGCAATCCCTTTTATGTGATGCTCACAGGGGCTGCCTGTAGGACACTTTTAAATTGGATTGCACAGAAGCATTTTACACTTATGCTGGACCACTTGGCAATAATTTTTTTTTCCTTTTTTCCTCCTCCTCCTCCTCCTCCTCAAGCTGCCAATCAAACATCGCTCTTGGGTGCATTGAAGAAGTACAGTTCACAAAGGCTGTTTTTCAAATATTGTTAAAAGTATAGGAGGTTGCTACAATTTTGTAGACTGGTTATTTTCAGAAGAGTTTTGAATCAACAACAACAAAAACTTGCACTCATATAGTTCCCTCCACAGAGGGTAGCGTCTCAGAGCGCTTAGCAGTGGCGGAGCCTGACTCCGAGGCGGAAGATTTTCAGGCTGGACTTGAAAAAGGGGAGAGAGGGGGCAAGGTGGAGGGATTGAAGGTGAGTGTTCCAGGGTTTCGGGGCGTAGTGGCTAAAAGCATGACCTCCGATGGTATGGCGGAGGGTGTGAGGGGCGAGCAGGAGGCTGGTGCCAGTCGAGCAGAGGGGCTGGGTGGTGGATTGGGGAGTGAGGAGGTCGGAGAGGTAGGGAGGTGCCAGGGAGTGAATGGATTTGAACACGAGTGTGAGGATCTTGAAGTCGATCCGTTGGTGATGTGGAGCCAGTGGAGCCTGGGCCAGAACTGGTGAGATGTGGGTACGGAGTTTGGTCCGGGTCAGTATGCGGGCGACAGAGGTTTGAATGAGCTGATCTTGTGAATGGTGGAGCTGGCGAGACCGTCGAGGAGTGCGTTTGATTAATCCAAGCGGGAGGTGACAAACGCTTGTCCAAGGATTTTGGTTGCATTTGGGGTAAGGTACGCTCAGAGGCGGGCAATGTGATGGAGCTGGAAGAAGGCTCCTGGTCAGGGACTGGATGTGGAGGAGGAAGGACAGCAGGGGGGTCGAACTGGATGCCGAGGTTCGGCACTGATTTGGTGAGTCTGAGGGAGAGCCCAGGGAGGTTGAGAAGTTCAAATCTGCAGGCGTGAAGACATTGACGGGAACCAAGGAGTATGGCTTTGTCTTGCCCACATTCAACAACTGCAGGAAGTTTGCACTCATCCAGGCCCTCCGCTAAATCGTTGTTCTACTGCAAGACAATCTTGGAGGCCACGGACAACCCCAGGCTCCTCTTCTCCATCTCCAAACGGCTCCTCCGCCACCCTCTCACTCCTCGCCCATCCTCACCTCTAATGCCAACTGCGAGGCGATGCTGGAATTTCTCAAATCCAAAGTCGAGGGGATCTGCTCAGTGGTCTCTGCCCTTCCGTCTACTAACCCCTCCCCATCTCCCCCCTCCCCTCGGCCCGTACCCATCCCTCTCTCCACAGCTTCGAACCCACTCCCACTCCTCTCATCACCACTATAAACTGTATGAAACCGATCATCTGTCTCCCTTGACCCCATCCCTACCCATCTTCTTACCTCCCAGCTCCACCTCTCCTCACAGACATTATAAACCTCTCCCTGTCCACTGGTACTGTTCCCACCCCTTTAAAAACGGCCGTCATCACTCCTATCCTGGACCCATTCTTGCTCTCAAACGACTGCCCCATCTCCAACCTCTCCAAGGTCCTGGAATGTGTCGTTGTTTCCCAGTTTCGGAGGAGGGAGATAATGCTCCTGAAACTAAAACTAAGATGACTTCTCCTAGTTGATTGGCTGGTGGATAGCAAAAAACAAACTCTAGAAAAATAGAAACAGTAGGAGGCCATTCAGCCCCTCGAGCCTGTTCTGCCATTCTATAAGATCATGGCTTATCTGTACCTCAATTTGCACACGTTCAAAGTCTTCATGTCGTTACGATGCTTATGTGATATTAAGAGCACAAACACGATGAGCCGAATGGCCTTCTTCTGTACTACAAAATTTATGTGGTTCCAGAATGTCTTAGACACCAATGCCTGCAATGGAATTTTGCCCGATCTGCAGAACCAAATCCTTAGTGTAAAAGTGGCCTTTGAGAGAGAGAGGACTGCACGCATAAACCCAAATGCAGTTTGCACTAAGGTTTTGATGGTACGGAGAAGCTAGCCTGAATAAAAGACACTGAACATTACCCTTCAGCAATTAGAAGAGAAAGGAAGGTGGAAGTAAATAAAGAAAACAAATAAGGTGTCAAGTGCACTTGATTCTTCAAATACTGCTCAATATTAAAAGGACACCCCCCACCCCTGTAGATTTCATCTTGGTCATTGTTAATCTTACTGTGTGACCATTTCATCTTCTGAAAAGAAGCGACTTTGTAAAGACATGCCTACCTTCTCTGTCAAAGAAACCCTGCAGTGATTTTTTCGGGTCTTTGATATAAAAGGCCTCTTGGTCTTCCTGGAATTCAATGGCATATGGGTTTTCCTCGCTTTCATCCTCCACCGCATCCTCGTCTGTTGAAATATTTAAACACCAATCACACATCTGGCAGACACAATCTACTTTATATGATAATTCATTGAATAACAGATCACTTTGCTGCCGAGGGACATCAAATCACAATCTTGATGGCCTCAGACCTAAAGTAATAAAACTGAGCTGGTAGCCAGGAGTGGAGGTCGAAATGGGAGGAGGGAAGAGAGAGTAAAGAGAACAAGGTATCATATCAACTTTTCAAAGTAAGCACTAGCTTCTCAGCCACTTTGTCTCAAAAGCTTCACTATTAATTCATTATTTCGACCACAAAATACACAGTCAATTCACTTTACAATATATTCTGTGAAGCGCTTTGAGATGTCTCAACGACGTGATGAGGCCCTATATCAAATGCAGGGATTATAATTATAATTATTATTATTATTATTATTACTGCCAAACATAGGTACTCAACAATTCAACAATCTCAGTTGGGATGTTCCATTTCTATCAGCAACTTCCCCTTTACATTTTCAGCAATTTTTGTGCTACTGTGAATTCTGTTTTGATTATATAAAAAAAATGAGCAATCTTCTCATTACAAGCCAACAGTTTGGGCGGGACAAGAGCATTAAGGCTCAAAGTAGTTACCTACAAGCCCATTTTACTAATATGCCACCTATAATGGGATGCCTCATTATAATAATAATCCTAGCATTTTATATAGCAATTGAAACAAGACATCTCAAAACACTCCATGATAAATTGCAATCAAATGCAATGACTGTATTCGTAGGCAAACGCAGCAGCTAATTTACACACAGCAATGTTGCCTAAACCATCAGAAAGTGAATGAGCAATACCCGGATATTTGGTCATGACACTGGGACAAACTCTCTTCTCTTTTCGAATAATGCCAAGCATCTTTAAAATCCAGTCACACAGGAACTCGGTTTGATAATAATCTTTCTGTTTTATTGTTTCACCTGAGGAATCACTGACACCTCTGAGAATGCAGTGCTTCCCCTAGTATTATACTGGAGTGTCAGTCTAGATTTATAAACTCAAGACCCAGAAATTGTGGGGCTCAAAGCCACAACCTTGTGACCCAGAGGTAAGGCAGCTACCAACTGAGCCAAGCTGACTTAATGGAATAGACTGGTTAAATGGAACACAAGGTAAATGTACCCACCCATTCCCCAACTACATCCGGTCTCAGGTTTAGGCCCAGGAGGCTTTGGTTGCTTCTTGGGGACGGAGGCTTCTTCTTCTTCATCATCATCATCATCATCATCATCATCATCATCTCCATCATCTCCCAACATTCGTCTCTCCAGTCGCTCGTGCTGTCGATTCAGCTGTTTCAGCTCAGTGACTGTAAGATCAGACTCTGTGTCCTGATCATATTCTGGTCCCTGCATAAATTCATAAAACTGTTTCTTACACAAGTACCTGATTAGTAATTTGTAAACAAAAGCAGAGAACAAACTTGCATTAAAAATAGTGTCTAGATCCTTGATCGCACCTCTGGGTAACCTGGATCTGCCTAGTTTCAAAATGCTTCACTATTAATTACTGCCAAATGTTTGACTTTTTTTTTGCAGGCAAATTTGGCAACCACTTTGTGCAACAGTCCCAGAGGCCACTTATCTGGATGATTGTTGGCTGGCTAGGACACTGGGAGAAAACTTCCTTCTCTTATCAAATATTTTCATGGGATCTTTAATATTCTACCTGAAAAGGCAGCCAGGATCTTGATTTCATGTTTTAACTGAAGGAAAGAATCTCCAAAAATCTATTGTTTCTCCAGTTATATGTTGGAACAACATGCAGTACAGCACTGTACCAGTCAGTCTATAGTATGAGCTTGAGTCCTGATAAATGATAATCATCCTTGCATTTGATATAGCACCTTATCACGTCTTCGAGACGTCTCAAAGCGTTTTACAGAATATACTGTTAAGTGAATTGACTGTATATATTGTGGGTGAAGCGTGGCAGTCAATTGTGCACAGCATCATCCCACAAACAGTCGTGGATTGAGTGACCAAATTTTTATTTTTTTTAAATTTAATTTTTTTAAATTATCCTGGAAAAGCGATCCACCAATCAACTAACAACTGGGTTCTTATTTACTGCTAGACAAACAGAGGTACGTGGAGTAAGGAAACTTGCCTAACCTATCGCCTTGCCTGGGAATTGGACTCAGTTCCTCTCGCTTCTGAGGCGAGTGCTTTAACCACTGAGCTACAGGATTCTACTTAAAAGCTTTAAAAACACAACCTTCTGATCAGGAGGAGAGAATAAGCCATTCTCTTTCAGTTTTCATTAACTTAGTAAGAGCACTTAAAATCTAGCGCTGCCCGGTCGTCTTTTCCTTTATGTATATTCCCACATGCAATGTTCTGGGATCTTCATCATGCTCCATTTCTCTTTCTTAAATGCACTTAAATTCCTCCTTGAAAAACTATTGACAATGGTGTAACGACATTGAAGAGATGGTCAATATTGACTTGCCTGTAAGCATATATACTGAAACAATGAGTTCTGAAATTATGGAGAAACCCCTACGCAAATGAATGAGTGTGCAGCATTCTACAAAGAGTATATATGATCAAATGAACATGACAGCCATTCAAACTTCATTCAGGAGTAATGGGCTCAATGCAATCATCTGTTTACAATGTTTGCATTCTCACGTCAATTCTGACTCAGGGTGGGCCAGGAACCCCAGCCAGGGACAAAGAGGAACTATCATTATAGATACTGCCCTGATCATTTATATAATAAGAATCGTTGCATTTGATATCGCGTCTTATCGTGTCTTCGAGACGTCTCAAAGCGCTTGACAGAATATACTGTAAAGTGAATTGACTGTATATTTTGTGGGCAAAACTGGAAACATTTGCTGGAATCTTCTGTCCATTACTTCTCCAAAAGGAGCAAGGATTGCATTACCATCACTGCTCATTTTTAGGGGCAGACATTGTCGCACCATTGACATGAACCTCACCACCATCAACATCATCCTCAAATGAAACCAATTTCTCCTCCTTTTTTAGTTTTAAAATTATGGAGTGAATTGTGGAGGCATATACATTTATAATAGTTACAATGGATCCCAGTTAACAATTCAATCATCTAATTAATTAGTGAGCAGCAGTCATCTTACCGTAATTTGATATAATGGCGAATCTCAAAAAATGGGTTAAATTTGCAGTCATGTAGAACGTACTCCTCCTTAGATAATACGTTTCATAGAATCATACAATGTTATACGTGAGAAAACAGGCCATTCGGCTCATCTGCTGTGCGCAGTATTTTCTGTGAAGCGCTTTGAGACGTCTTGAAGACGCGATAAGACACTACATCAAAATGCAAGGATTATTATTATTATCACGTCTGCTCTATTTTGCTCCGCATGAACCAACTTCTAATCTCACTTTCCTGCTTGCTAACTCCATGTCCTTTAATACTTCTCCTCAAGGTATCTATCTAATTCCTCTATAAAGGAATCTATGGGCCGTTCTCTCAATGACAATTTGTGCCAGAGAATTCCACATTCCAACCTTCATTTGTGTACTTTTTCCCAATCTCCATCTTTCATTATTTTGCATTTATCTGAAAACTTTTGCCACGACTTGTCAGGCTGTGGAAATAATCTACTACTATTTACTAGGCGTAGTGCTTTCAGCCACTACACCTTGCCCCTCCCTCCCCATTTTCAAATCTCACCTAAAGACCTTCCTTTTCGATCGTGGTTAAGATCACTTCCCCCCTCTTCCCCTGGACTTGGGGTCAGACTCCGCCATGTTAAGCACTCCGGGATGCTACTCCACGTGAAGGGCGCTATATAAATGCACATTGTTGTTGTACTATCATTTTGCAAACCAGTCGGCGTCTAAAAATCCAATTGTTTTGACTGGATTTCTTTTACTCCAAAAGAGAAGTTTCGTGCTGTCAGGTTAAACAACAACAGCAGCAACAAAGTTACATTTGTTCAGCCCCTTTCACGTTGGGAGGATGTCCCAAGGCGCTGGACAATCAGCGTTTCGGACCTGAGCCTGGAGTCGGAATCAGGGAGGGCGGAGGGCGGCGGGGGGGGGAAGGAGGGTAATCGAAGATAGGGTCGAAGAGGAAGGTTTTGAAATGGGTCTTGAAGGAGGCAAAGGAGGAGGCGAGGCGGAGTGACTGCGTAATGTAGTTCCAGAAGAGTGGCAGAAGGCCATAGAGGGCTTTGAAGGTGAGGACCAGGATCTCGAACTGTATCCTCTGTGTGATGGGAAGCCGGTGGAGTCGGGTGAGAATGGATGTGATAGGATCACCGAGCCTGCTGTGGGAGAGGACACGGGCTTTAGAGTTCTGGATGATTTGCAGCCTATGGAGGGAGGAGTTGGGGAGGCCGACAAGCAGGGAGTTTGTATAGCTGAGCCCCGATGTTATGAATGTGTGAGGGTCTTGGCGGCCTGCGGTGTGAGACAGTGGCGGAGGACAGTGACCCACAGCTCAGCTGCAATTATCTTTGGCATTTCTCTGCCTGCACTGAATGGACGTATCTGAGAAACAAATAGCAGCATAATAAATAATAGTATTCACCTGCAGAACCAGGAGCCGAGTGCTCCCTCCAAATTTAATCACATGGCCAACTTTCAACCGGTGGTAAGTCTTGGGCTGGATTTTCACCTTATTCACAACTGTCCCATGGGTGCTCTCCAAGTCATAAATGTAAAACCCCACTCCGGTTTCCCCGTCGGCCACTCGCCTGTGTTGTACGATGGCATGGTACCTGGATATTGAGGGATGCTCCAGAGAGATGTCGCAGTTGGGAAGCCTGCCGACCACGTGAAAACTTTTCGAGTTTAGTCGCAATTCGGACACGATGGAACCCGTCTTCAGGATCTCGAAGCTGTAGGGGGATTCTGGCAATCCACCCCAAGGTGGCTCCACGTATGGGAGCGGAGCACAAGGCTTGTACTTATCGGAAGGTAACCTGGGTATAGATTTGGGCTTTTTTGGCAGTGTGAGATAAGGCTTCTCAATGAGCTTCTGATCAGTGGCTGGCATGTCTTCAGACATGGGGACCTCATCTGAAGACAGATGTCCCATGGAGCTCTCTGAAGACGTTGCTGTCACTTTCTTTGAGCGTTCATCCACGATTCTGACCTTCTCCGACAGCTCAGAGCTGACTGCTGAAGAGATTGAACTCTGCGACTTCGCCTTCTTCTGCGACGCGACCAAAGGAAGCAAAGGCTTCTTGAAGCCCTCACCGTTTTCTGAGTCTGTAAAACAAATTAACATCTTCCGTGTAACAGTCACTCATTGTATCAAGAAGTGAGCCTTATTATGTACTACAATTTCTAATACAATTGCTTCACAGCCAAGGTGATCCTTTTCTCACCAGTGTCAGTGGGAATCTCTGGGTAGTGATCAAGAGCGTCCAACCTTAGATGAATTTCCGTTCCCTAACCCAGTGGGGCATCAAGGCCAAGAGCAGTGGCTTTTAGAGCTGCTTCTAATTATAATAATAATAACCCTTCCATTTGATATAGGGCCTTATCACGTTTTTGAGATGTCTCAAAGAGCTTCACAGAATATACTGTAAAGTGAATTGACTGTGTATTTTGTGGGCGAAATGCGGCAGCCAATTGCACACAGCCGCGTCCCACAAACATTTGCGGATTGAATGACCAATTCATTATTATTTTTTGTTGAAGGAATTATTACTTCCGAAAAAGCGATCTGCCTGGGTTTACCTGGGTTTACTGCTAGGTAAACAGAAGCATGTGGAGTAAGGAAACTTGCCCATGTTTCACACTGCCTGGGAATCGAACCCAGGTCTCTAACCATTGAGCTATAGGACTCCACGATTGATTTGAACTAACTCTGTGCAGACCAGGATTCCAAGTCTGCAACCAGTCTGCGTGGCCTAAAATTGCACTGAGCGGTGTTATAGGAGAAGACACCACTCCTCCAATGGTACCAGGTTTCATACCCCACCCATGCCAATTTGAGCTCATCCTCCAAATATATCCAGCCAAATATCTTCCCATCGCAGCATCAATACATTTCTTAAATTAATCCCAGTTTAAAACCACCCCCCCCTTCATGGTAACCAGTTAGTCGTTAATTACTCGCCTAAAGAAATACTTTGTGTTATCTGTCTTGATAACACTGCCCTTTACAAACCTGAATCTGTGTCCGTTTGTCCTTCTGCCTTGTTGTATTGGAAATTAGTATTCTGGGTTTTACTCTCTCAATTCCTCTAAGGTATCCTCTGAGTTATCTCTTTCAAAGGCTGAAGAGCCCTATCTTATCTAATTATTCATTATAGTTCATCCCTGTACCAAAAGGGATCATCCTTCTCTCTCTCCTTTGCACTTACCTATGGCCTGGACACTCCTATTATACTGCAGTGATCAGAAGTGTACACAATGAGGGCTGACCAGGGCACAGAACGTTGTCAGCACGACTTCTGGAATCTGAACTGAACTAATAAAGGCGATTTTTTTGCCCCTCTCCTATTGGGACCGTCATGTGGTGGTACAGAAATGAAAGAGAATCTGTAATTCAATTGCAGGGTACAATCTCGATGTGTCTATTGTGATGGTAGAACAGATATGAAAGATTTACCCTAATCAAATCAACAATTTGCATTGCTCTTTAATCCTCCCACGTAAAATGAGTTACATTCTTCAACCCACACTCTGTAAATTGTATTTGCTGCCCTGCTTATTATCAAAATGCGTGTCTGGCAATTTTTGCCTTTTTGCTCATTGTGAAGCGAAGTGGGAGTAATTAATAGACGTGTCATGGCCAAATGTAGGTCACTGTTACATCCACCGTTATTGGGAGGTGTATTGATGTGTAAGAGTACAGTATATCTTGAATTATTCCACTATGATAACAATTAGTTACAGGGAAATGATATCAAATCAATTTGTGAACAGAATGTAAAGCAGATCCCACAGGGCATATGCAAAAGGTTGGGATGGAAATCACATAACAGCTGCTCTTGTACATAGCAGACCTGAAGATACCATTATAACCGGCAAACTGAGACTATTTGCATAAGCTGCACCAATCCATTACTGGCATCTGGTCTCTTTTTAATTCAGAAACCGAGATGAAACGGCAAATCCCACCATGCAGGTCACCTCCATGTTTGAAACCAGAGAGGACTTGATTTTAAGTAGCGATTAGGAAATGGCAATCTTGCTTTTTTTCCAAAATTCTGGATTCTTATCCTTGCGTTTGATAAAAGTGCTTATCATGTCATCAATGTCTCAGGGAATTTCTGTCAAACGTAGTGACTGTCTATTCCCAGAGAAATACAGCTGCCAATTTGCGCATGGCAGAGTCCCAAGAACAGCAGCATAAAGAGAATGATCAGTTCATCGGGAGGATAGCTGAGCAGTCGAAGCTCCCTTATCACAAGATTGGTGTGAATGAAGAAGGCCATCCAATCTCATCCCTCCAGAACTCCCACCTTACTCCAAGGTTATCTTGGAGGCAAAGGATAACCCCAGGCTTCTCGTTTCCACCACAGACCGTCTCCCCCGTCCACCTTCCCACGCCTCGCCCATCCTCTCCTCAAACGCCAACAGTTAGGAGATGCTGGATTTCCTCGAAACCAAAATCGAGGGGATACTTTCAGCCTCCTCTGCCCCACCCACAGCCACCCCCACATCACCTCTCCCTCATGACCCATCCCCCACTATTCTCCTTCGACCCTATCTCTCCCTCCTCCTTCACCACCATTGTTCGCAAACTCAAACCCACCACCCGCTCCCTCATCCCATCCCCACTTCTCTCCTCATCTTCCAGCTCCACCTTCTGGCCCCTCTCCTGTCTGACGTCATCAACCTCTCCTCTCAGTTCCCACCCCCCCAAAAACAGCGTCATCACCCCTATCTTGAAAAAAACCTTCCCTGGACCCATCCCTCCTCTCCAGCCCCATCTCTAACCTCCCATTCCTCTCCAAGGTCCTGGACCGAGTCATCGCGTCCCAGCTCCGCTCCTTTCTCTCTCCCGATTCCCTCTTTGAACCCCTCCAATCCGGCTTCCGCTCTGCCCTCAGCACGGAAACAGCCCGGGTCAAAGACACTAATGACATTCTGAACATCTGTGATCAGGGCTTCCTCTGCCTCTTTGTCCTCCTCGACCTCTCTGCCGCCTTCGATACTGTCGACCACTTCATCCTCATACACCACCTCTCTTCTTTACTTAATCTTCGTGGACCTGCCCTTGCCTGGTTCGATTTCTATCTCTCTCACCATCTCCACTTTGCTGCCTCTAACGGTTTCTCCTCCAGCCCCGCACTGTCACATCTGGCGTCCCCCAGGGCTCTGTCCTTGGTCCTCTCCGCTTTAATATCTACATGCTCCCCCTTGGTGACATCATCCACAGACATGGGGTCAACCTCCAACTCTATCTTTCTACCTCCACCCTCAACTCCAGGACCACTGCTGTCCTGACAGACTGACTGTCGGACATCAAGTCCTGGATGAGGGCAAATTTCCTACAGTTGAATGTGAACAAGACTGAGGCCTTCCTGATGGGCTCGCGCCAGCGCCTCAGCACCTCAGGCTCTGGCAGCATCAACCTCCATAGTTCCACACTACAGCTCACCAGCCAGTCAGGAACCTCGGTGTCTTGTTCGACCCTCAGCTGTCTTTTCTTCCCCACATCCAAGCCATGACCCGCTCTGCCTTCCCTCACCTCTGTAACATCGCCCGACTCCACCATTACCTCACCCCTCAGGCCACTGAAACTCTTGTTCGTGCCTTCCTCACCTCCAGGCTCGACTATGCAAACGCTCTGCTTGTCGGCCTTCCCAACTCCTCCCACCACAGGCTTCAGATAATCCAGAACTCTGCAGCCGTGTCCTCTCCCGCACCAAACTCTGTGACCCCATCTCCCCCATTCTCGCCCAACTCATTGACTCCCTATCCTTCAGAGGATTCAGTTCAAAAATCCTGGTCCTCACCTACAAAGCCCTCCATGGCCTCGCCCCACCCTACCTCTGCGACCTCCTAATCCCCTACCAACATGCCTGTTCCCTCCGCTCAGCCGGCTCTGGCCTGCTCCCCCGACCCACCCGCCCCACCATTGGCGGAAGAGCCTTCAGCCACTCTGCCCCCAACCTCTGGAATTCCATCCCTCAATCACTCCGCCTCGCCCCCTCCTTAGCCTCCTTCAAGTCCCACCTCAAAACCCTCCTCTTCGACCATGCCATCGGCCACCCCCACTTCCCCTCCCCTCACCCCCCCTGACCCCAGCTCAGGTCTGAAATGCTGTGCACTGTCCAGCATCTTGGGACGTTTTCCCGACGTGAAAGGCGCTATACAAATGTAATCTTATTGTTGTTGTTGTTACTGCCACCTCCACCGTCGTCGTCATCCCCCGTCCCCCCATCACTGCATCAAGTCCTGTAGCTTAGTGGTTAAAGCATTCGCCTCACAAGCGAGAGACCCGGGTTCGATTCCCGGTAGTACGAAACACTGGGCAAGTTTCCTTACTCCACACACCTCTGTTTACCTAACAGTAGGTAGGAAGCCGGTTGTTAGTCGATTGGCAGATCGCTTTTCTAGGGGTAATAATTCTTTCAAAATAATTTTTTTTGAAAATGTGGTCAGTCAATCCACAACTGTTTGTGGGACGCTGCTGTGTGCAATTGGCTGCTGCGTTTCGCCTACAAGATACACAGTCAATTCACTTTACAGTATATCCTGTGAAGCGCTTTGAGACGTCTCGAAGATGTGATAAGGCGCCATATCAAATGCAAGGATTAGAATTATTATTAACAAGCTGCCCTGCCATCTACCAACTTTCCTGCAACCTTTTCCATTCATTGACTACCCCTGTGTAAAGAAAACCGGCGTGGTATTTGCCCTGAAATTGTCATTTTTAACTCTAAACCTATGTTCTCGTTCTACCGCCTTGTAAGTATTGATCTGAGTTAACTTTTCAAACCTATTTAAGATTTTATACATCTCTATGAAGTCCCCTGTGAGTCGTTCATCTTCTCTCAAGACTGATGATCCCTAACTTGTTATCATAGAAATTTACAGTGCAGGAGGAGGCTATTTGGCGTGCAGTCTGCTCCAGCTCACAGAGCAACAACACTGTATAAATTACACTTGTATAGCGCCCTTCACATCGGAAACTTCCCAGCAAGCTGCTCTTTCCATCCCTATGCCCTGCTCTATCCCACTCCCTTCAAGCTTGTTACCTTTTTGAATAGTGTAACAGGGACCTAAACATTCTCCTAAACAGGCAG